TGAGAGGGAGGAGGAGAGAGAGAGAGAGAGAGAGAGAGAGAGAGAGAGAGAGAGATTTTCCTTTTGATACAGAACTTGTGACATAAAATGAGACATTCTGAGGTACAGTACTCACCATCTGTCTCCAGAAAGTTACTGCCTCATCAGACACTGCCCTCCCCAATCCCCTGGCACCTGCCTGACCACACACACATATTCACACACACACACACACACACACACACACACACACACACACACACCACACACTCTCACACACACACACACACTCCAACACATACACACTCGTGCACCAGCACCCCCACACGTGTACACATACCACACAAACACACACACTCATACACGCATATAGAAACATGCATGCATACATACACAGTCTCTCTCTCTCTCTCTCTCCCCCCTTCTGGTTCTGATAACTGAAGGGATAGGGAGCTCCTAGGAGTGGAACCTGCAATGTGTATGCCTCTGTATGTGGCTCACATCACCATCCCAGAATTTAGGAGCACCAAGGATCCTATCTGGAACCAGGACTGTCCAGCTGCTGACCCAGCCTGGCTCTGCCTTCCAGATGTCAGTCTCTAAACGAGCTCGGAAAGCCTCCAGTGACCTGGATCAGGCCAGTGTGTCCCCGTCGGAAGAGGATTCCGAGAGCCCATCTGAGTCAGAGAAGACCAGCGACCAGGTGAATGGACAACAGCCCCCAGGACATCCTGGCATGGCAGCTAGCACCCCTGACACTTCTGTCTCTTCACCCAGGACTTTACCCCGGAGAAGAAAACAGTGGCCCGGGCACCACGGCGGGGTCCTCCAGGAGGACGAAAAAAGAAGGTAAGGGTCTGTGCCCAGGTCCTGAAAAGCCACTAGTAGCCTAAAGGGCCTTCTATGGCAGGGGTATCTGGGTACCCAGGTATGCAGTGATGCCCCTGGGGCCTGTGGGTCACTGCTGCTCCTCCCAGGGGACCCCACTATCAGGATTGGAAAATCAGGTCCTGTGTGCTGGAATGTTGTGGCATCAAAAGTCGTATGTGCTGTGTACATATGGGGGTACAAGGAGTTGGGTTCATAAGGTTGCTTATGCATGCACAGGTGTGTTTGTGGATCTGTGACCCTGTGTGTGATGTGGACAGTGCATGTTGTATTGTGGTGTGAGTGCTGTGGGAGAACTGGGCAGTAGGAGGGAAGGAGGAGGCCTGGCCTCCTATGCAGGTTTTCAGTGCACACCTGCCCTGGAAACCCCCTGGGCTTGGCCCTGATCCTGTCCCCAGGAGCCATCCAGGGTGTCCCTTGGGGACTGCAGCTGCCTCTGCCCCCTCATCCTCACCCTGGACAACACCCCCACTGGCTCTGCCTGTTCCCAGAAGGTGCCTTCAGCCTCGGATTCAGACTCCAAAGCTGACTCAGATGGGGCCAAGGAGGAGCCTATGGCTGCAGCACGGCCGTCCCCATCCTCCTCGTCCTCTTCATCCTCCTCCTCTGACTCAGATGTGTCTGTCAAAAAAACCCCTCGAGGCAGAAAGCCAGGTAAGGCCTGAGCCAGCCTCGATGCAGCCCTGGGAGGCCATGGAGAGAAGGTCACCCCTCCTTTTCCACAGCTGAGAAGCCACCTCCCAAGCCCCGAGGGCGGAGACCAAAGCCAGAAAGGCCACCTTCCACCTCCAGCAGTGACAGGTGGGTGTCAGCTGGTAATGTGGGGGCCACAGGGTATACTGGAGTCCCTGCTGATGGACTTTCCCTCCTAGTGACAGTGACAGCGGGGAGGTGGACCGCATCAGTGAGTGGAAGAGGCGCGATGAAGAGCGGAGGCGTGAGCTGGAGGCAAGGAGGCGACGGGAGCAGGAGGAGGAGCTCCGGCGACTTCGAGAGCAGGAGAGGGAGGAGAAGGAGCGCCGCAAGGAGCGGGCAGAGCGTGGGGGCAGTAGTGGGGAAGAGCTGGAAGACAATGAGCCTGTGAAGAAGCGCAGCCGCAAGGCCCGGGGCCGGGGCACACCATCTTCCTCCGACTCAGAACCAGAGGGGGAGCTTGGGAAAGAGGTGCATGGTACCCCCTTTTCACCTGAGGCCCCAGACGCTGGCCCTGGGCTCCACTTCTTTACTGAGCACCTAATGGATCCTGGGGTTCATCCTGGTTTTTGGATAACACAGAGCCCAGGGCCCCAACCATAAAAGCTAGGGACAGCCAGTCAAGGGTCCTTCCAGAATATAGAGCTTGCCTGTCACATGGAACCTGAATTCCATACCTCTGTGGAAGACCAGGGAAGCCATGGCCCACATGTGCTGGGTGGGGGTGAGACAGGCTGCTCCTGAAGCAGCAACACTGTCCTCTGGCCACTGTAGGGGAAGAAGTTGGCTAAGAAGTCCCAACTGCCAGGCTCAGAGTCTGCAAGGAAGTCTGGGCAGAAGGAGAAGAGAGGGCGGCCAGACGAGAAGCCACGAGCCAGGTTAGTGCCTGTCCTGAGCCCTGTACCTAGTCTTTCTTTCCTCAGCCTGGCTGTTGAGTTCAGCCTTGGAGCCACATCCATCCGAGGATTCCAGGCCTTAGGGCCACAGTCTTGCCTGGGGCCATGTGTGGCAGTCAAACTAGGAGCTGCTGGCCTGTTGTAAGTGGAGGCCAGCAGCACTGCTCAGCACCCTGCAGGGCCCAGGATCCAAATAACCATCCAACCAGTGTCCACAGCACCCAGGGGACACCATGCCCAGGGTGGTGGCTTTAACTCTGAGCCTGCAAGTGGAGAGGGGCAGCTCATCTCTGCATTCTAAGTATCCCAACTATTGCTAATCAGAGCTGCCTGTGAGGACCAACAGTGAGGCACAGTGGCCACACAGCACGGGGTGTGGTGTGCTTACTGGGCTCCTCATAGTTAGCCTAGTACACAAAAGCAGAGGAGGATCCCAGGAACTTGGCCTGGCTGTCTGTCCTTGCCTTGGGCCTCCCAAGGTGGCTTGTCTGATGGGAGCTTCTCCATAGGCCTGTGAAGGCAGAGCGAACGCGGAAGCGATCAGAGGGCATTTCACTGGATAGGAAAGGGGAGAAGAAGAAAGGTGAGCATTAACATGGTTCAGGGTTCCATGGCTCTGTGGTGGTGGGAGAGGCTGGGCCACCTTGTAGCCAGGGCCAGAGCACCCTGCTCAAGCCAGCATCTCTCCTGCCCAGAACCTTCTGTAGAGGAGAGACTGCAGAAGCTGCACAGCGAGATCAAATTTGCACTGAAAGTCGACAACCCAGTAAGACACCTGCTGCACAGCCTCAGGCTCCTTGGAAGTCTTGGGAAACTGAGGCAGGGTCTCCCAGCTGGGGGAGTGGTTTCATAGTAGACCAGGAGACTCCACTCCCACTCCCATACCCTACAGTCTCCCCCGGGGACAGCAGGCAGCACCCTAGGAGACAACCAGAGTTGCCTCCCCACTCTTCCTGCCCTGCAGGATGTGAGGAGGTGTCTGACTGCCCTGGAAGAGCTGGGGACACTGCAGGTGACCTCTCAGATCCTTCAGAAGAACACAGATGTGGTAGCCACACTGAAGAAGGTATGACATGGGGCACCAGGGCACAGCACCTGGAAAATGGTGCTGGTGTCCAATGGGAGGACTTGGGGGCACAGCCAGTGGCCCTGCTAAGCTTGGCCTCCTGCTGGCCAGATTCGCCGGTACAAGGCCAACAAGGATGTGATGGCGAAGGCAGCAGAGGTCTACACCCGGCTCAAGTCTCGGGTCCTGGGGCCAAAGGTTGAGGCTCTCCAGAAGGTGAACAAGGCTGGAGCCGAGAAGGATCGGGTTGATGTCGAGAAGGTGGAGGAGCAGCCTGGGGAGCAGGCTCCCAGAGAGCTGGTGGAGGATGAGCCCAGCACCGGTGAGGGCCGCCTGCAACCAGCCAGAGGGACAGATGGGGACTGCACCAGGGTCACCCCCAGCAAGCTTACTAGACCCAACCACATTCTAGGACAGCTGGCATAGGGTGTCCCAACGCCACCAGGTGCCAGCAGTTGGGTGTTGGCAGTGCTCTGTAGGCCACAGCACTTACATGTGCACTGCTTGTGAGCCTGACTGCAACTGGGCAAGGAGGGTCCTAATGAGAGGCAAGCATTATGCTCATATGGCCCTGTCACCCTAGATCTCTCAGCGCCTGTGAACGGTGAGGCCACATCCCAGAAGGGGGAGAGCACAGAAGATAGAGCACAGGACGACGGGCAGGACTTGGAGGATGGCCCACGGGGGTGCTCCTCGGAAGAGCTGCATGAGTGAGTGTCCCGGGGGCATTCCTTGCACACTGTGGCGCCCACCCCTACCACATGCTAGGGCCAGCCAGCACACTGTAGCCCACATCAGGCCATCCCACGCTTCCAGCAGCTGGTGCTCTGGGAAGGGCTTCCTGCTGACTGTCCAGGGGTGGTCCTGGTGGCCACCATGAGCACCGACCACTGGACTGAGCTACAGTTGGCCTGGGAAAGGTCAGGAAGGCCACACCAGGCACAGGTACTACCAGTGAGGGCATTTCCCTTCTTTGACTGGCCACCCATCCAATGGCCCTGTGACAGCACAAGGTAACTACATCCTGACCGACCTTCGCTATGCCCCCAGCAGCCCTCGGGACAGCTCCGACCCCGCCAGGCCTGGGAGTGAGCATCAGGAGCATGAGAGGGTACGGCTGGCCTCCGAGTCTGCTGATGATGACGAGGACAGCTGAGCTCCAGCCACCATGGCCATGGTGCCATGTCCGTCCCCAGCCTCCCAGGGAAGTGCTGCACTGTTTGTATTTGTAGCCTGGGCCTTTCTGCCTAGTTCTGTGATTTCAATTGACATGAAATGGCTATAAAGGATTTTGTAATGAAAAAGAAACAGCTTTTATTGGCTTGGTGTCCTGATGTGAAATGCAGCTGGGCTGGGGCCAGGGCACACTATGCCTGAGGTACCAGCCACCATGAGCAGAATGGGGAACCAGGCCTAGTACAGGGCAGGGTTCACACTTAGAGGCCAGAGCTCTTCCTGCAGTGAGTGGCTTGTTCATCAGCATGAGTGGAGAAGATGCTAAGGACAGGCTCATAAAAGACTGTGCCCTGACTCAACTGCCATCCCAAGCCCAGCTATGCTGGTACCCCCAGGTGGGTCAGCATAGTATCTCTGGGGAAGCTCAGTACTTGTGGTGGAGAGTTAGTCCACACCCTCCCAGCTTTGTGTGGCTTTGCGCAGTGCTATTTCACTCCACTATGTTCCCTGTGGGCTCAGATTGGGTACATGCCTCCCAGTGTATCCACCTGCCTTCATGCAGGCCCCGGGCTCCTCTTAGTCTAGTGTTGCACCCTGATGCTGATGTGGCAGAAGGACAGGCTCAGGAAAACTCCTTGCCATCTCCATCATGGCATTTCTAGGCCACAGCTATCCCAATCTTGGACCTCAAGGACATTGTTACTTTCCAAGAGTGCACATAAAAGGAAGCTGGAAGGTTGGGCGTTGCTAGCATTATTGGGGTTCAGGGAGGGCTGGACTGTGGCCTTGGATGGCCTGACCACAAGGGAGTGCCTTGGGCCCCATCATCTTCTATGCTTTCGTCTTGGGTGCATAGGGTGAGGAAGAGGGACCATTACCTGCTTGTGTCTCCAGTCAGTACAGCCTTCAACCCTAGGTGGACAATGTACTTTTTTGTATGCCACATTCGTGTGCAGGCCATATACTCATGCAGACCACAGTTGCTCAGAGCAGTACTGGTCCTGTCAAGTCAGCCCTGTCTCTGGTGTGTGACCCTCCTTTTCCCAGCAGAGCAGGTCTGAGTCAGGCCCACAGCATCCTGGGATACCTGCCGCCAAACCACACACATACTCTAGGTATCTGAAGAGGTTATGGGAGCTTACCTTAGGGTAGCTATGCATTCTAGCACATTCTAGTGCCAGGGAACAAGTTGCCTAGCATATTAGCCAAGAGCTCTGGATGCACTGTCCAGGGTAGGGCCTGGGGTAGAGGGGCACCACCTGTAGCGGAGAGCTGTGGGCCCCTGAAGGTAGGGTCAAAGCCCCTAGTGTAGTAGATTTGCCAGTGGGGACAGCTTAAGGACCTTCTAGGTTTGACTATACTGCTTTGCTCTGTTCTTGGGACCTATGTGGCCACTCTCTGAACAGACTTCGTGGCTAGTTTGGAAGAGGGGCTGTCAGTTGGAAATAGTGGGAGCCATGGCTATTTTCAAATTCACTTTCCGAGGACCCTCTGGCTCCTGCATAATCCAGATCTTTGAGGAAGTGCAGCCCTCAGATGCCTACAGCTGGCCACTAGGCATCACAGTGAAGGGTCCCACCAGCCAGGCAAGTGGGGGGCTCTGCTGCAGCCTGTCCAGCAGCACCTCCAGACCCTGCCATGCCTGGACCACACCGGCACTGCTCTGGGCCAGCTGCTCTGCCTGCAGGTCGACACCACTTGCAGAGGACACGAGGCCATACAGCTTGCAGAGGCTGTGCCGTGCCAGCCCTGCCTGCTGCTGCAACTCTGGCAGGCCCTGCAGGCAGGCTGTCAGGCTGCTATAAGCTGCATGGAGCTGGCAGGCTAGCGTGCACAGTCTGTCCTGAGCCATGGAAACACGCACCTGCAGAGGAGGAGGAAGGTAAGCAGGAGCGGGGCGTGTGCTAGGGGTGCTGGGGAGGAGCCCATGCCATACACACCTTTTGGGTACCAGCAGCCTCCACTGTGGAGCTCAAGCCCTGGTCCCAACGCAGGTGCCCACCTGGAGCCTCCACAGCCATGTCTGTCTGGAAAGAGAGCCACAGGAGAGGTGGTGGCTCTAGTGTAAGTAGCTCACTGCTGTCCTAGATCTTGAGTCTAAACCTGCTCCATACATGGTACAGCCAAAACCCAAATTCCCCATGAGGGCATCTGGAAGGCCAGGTGGTAGTCCCTCTGTCCACTCATCTCCCACCCTAATGTTGCCCACTGCATGTCCACACAGCTTCTTTTCTGTCCCCTGCCCACTCTCACTCTTCCCCCAGGCATCTGCTGCCCTACACTCCACCATATTCCCTGGGTGTCCACTTAGGAGACAGGGGCTTCATGACCATGGAGAGTATGTGCAGATAACAGGAATGCCACCCTGCACCCAGAATCCCAGGCCTCTGTATCCACAATGCCTAGAAGAACTCTGGAGACAGGACATTGGGTGAAGAACCTCTGTTAGGGCCGTCACCATCCCCTCTCTCTCCCTTGGGTTCACAGATTCTAGCCACATACCCAGCTCACTAGATGAGGCTAGTCCAACCATCGCCTGCTCCCTCTGCTTGCAGGTGGATTAGCTCATTAGCCACTTGGCCGGTAAACAGTAGGAGGTACCCAGAGTGGGAACCAGAGATGCTCTTACCACCTGGAAGGCCTCCTGAAGCTGGGCCAGCGAAGCCCTAGCTTGGAATTGATTGTGCTGTATATGGCTCAGGGCATGTTCAAAAGCCCGCTGGCGGAAGCTGGGTGCCAGGTCACCTAGGCGGACAAAGTAGCTTCTCCGGTCAGCAGAGAGCACCCGGGGCCCTGTCTCCGAGGCTGCCAGCTGGGCTGGAAGGAAGGCAGTGAGACTCAGTCTGAGGGTTCTTTAAGGCACCCACCCTGGGGCTAGGGACCTGCGATGGGGAGACGGCTCACCTTGTTCCTCGGCTGTCATGGGCTGGAAGATGTCCCCTAGCCCTTCCAACTCATCATGAAGTGCAGCAAAGCTTGTAGCAGCCAGCTGACCACACTCCTCCTCAGACCTGGGAACTGCATGGGCAGATGAAGCCACACCAGACACAAGGCCTTTGGTGGTAGCTATGGGTTCCGTAATAAGCCCCAAGCCACATGTGTTTGCAAGGCTGCTGATCTCAGAACATGAGGGCTCTGCAAAAGTCAGGTTTGCATGTTCTAAGCCTTGGTTGATAGCACTGCAACTGCCAGGCTCATAACACATGGTGACATGAGAGCCAGAGAGTGAACTTGGGACTGTATGGATACCAGTGTGGGTGGTATTGATGGCCACTTTATCTCCCTGAGACAGCATGGCAGAACCTGATTCCCTGGTAGTGTCCAGGCCCTTCTGAATGACACCTTTAGCCATGTTCATGGCCCCAGTGATCCCAGCACAGACAGTATCATTCGTACCTGTGAGCACACTCTTGCTGGTGTCCAGGCCTGTCTGCACTGTCCCCTTGGCCATGTTTGCAGCCCCTGTGAGTCCTGTGGCTACCGTATCCTTGGTGCCCATGACCACAGACTTGGTAGTATCCAGGCCCCCCTGGCCAACTCCTTTGGCCATGTTAATGGCTCCTCTGACTCCAGCACCAACAGTGTCCTTGGGGCCTGTGAGCACAGTCTTGCTGGTATCCGGACCTGTCTGCACTGTCCCTTTGGCCACATTCATGGCTCCTGTGAGTCCTGTGGTCACTGTGTCCTTGGTGCCTGTGACCACAGACTTGCTGGTGTCCAGGCCTGTCTGCACTGTCCCTTTGGCCACATTCATGGCTCCTGTGAGTCCTGTGGTCACTGTGTCCTTGGTGCCTGTGACCACAGACTTGCTGGTGTCCAGGCCTGTCTGCACTGTCCCTTTGGCCACATTCATGGCTCCTGTGAGTCCTGTGGTCACTGTGTCCTTGGTGCCTGTGACCACAGACTTGCTGGTGTCCAGGCCTGTCTGCACTGTCCCTTTGGCCACATTCATGGCTCCTGTGAGTCCTGTGGTCACTGTGTCCTTGGTGCCTGTGACCACAGACTTGCTGGTGTCCAGGCCTGTCTGCACTGTCCCTTTGGCCACATTCATGGCTCCTGTGAGTCCTGTGGTCACTGTGTCCTTGGTGCCTGTGACCACAGACTTGCTGGTGTCCAGGCCTGTCTGCACTGTCCCCTTGGCCATGTTTGCAGCCCCTGTGAGTCCTGTGGCCACCGTGTCCTTGGTGCCCACGACCACAGATTTGGTAGTATCCAGGCCCCCCTGGGCTACTCCTTTGGCCATGTTAATGGCTCCTGTGACTCCAGCCCAAACAGGGTCCTTGGTGCCTGTCCGCACACACCTGCTGGTGTCTAGGCCTGTCTGCCCTGTTCCTTTGGCCACATTCATGGCCCCCGTGCGTCCTGTGGTCACTGTGTCCTTGGTCGCCATGACCACAGACTTGGTAGTATCCAGGCCCCCCTGGGCTACTCCTTTGGCCATGTTAATGGCTCCTGTGACTCCAGCCCAAACAGGGTCCTTGGTGCCTGTCCGCACACACCTGCTGGTGTCTAGGCCTGTCTGCCCTGTTCCTTTGGCCACATTCATGGCCCCCGTGCGTCCTGTGGTCACTGTGTCCTTGGTCGCCATGACCACAGACTTGGTAGTATCCAGGCCCCCCTGGGCTACTCCTTTGGCCATGTTAATGGCTCCTGTGACTCCAGCCCAAACAGGGTCCTTGGTGCCTGTGAGCACAGTCTTGCTGGTATCCAGACCTGTCTGCACTGTCCCCTTGGCCATGTTTGCAGCCCCTGTGAGTCCTGTGGTCACTGTGTCCTTGGTACCCATGACCACAGACTTGGTGGTATCCAGGCCTGTCTGCACTGTCCCTTTGGCCACATTCATGGCCCCCGTGAGTCCTGTGGTCATCGTGTCCTTGGTGCCCACGACCACAGACTTGGTGGTGTCCAGGCCTGTTTGCACTGTCCCCTTGGCCATGTTTGCAGCCCCTGTGAGTCCTGTGGTCACTGTGTCCTTGGTACCCATGACCACAGACTTGGTGGTATCCAGGCCTGTCTGCACTGTCCCTTTGGCCACATTCATGGCCCCCGTGAGTCCTGTGGTCATCGTGTCCTTGGTGCCCACGACCACAGACTTGGTGGTGTCCAGGCCTGTTTGCACTGTCCCCTTGGCCATGTTTGCAGCCCCTGTGAGTCCTGTGACCACTGTATCCTTGGTGCCCATGACCACAGACTTGGTAGTATCCAGGCCCCCCTGGGCAACTCCTTTGGCCATGTTAATGGCTCCTGTGACGCCAGCACAAACAGTGTCCTTGGTGCCTGTGAGCACAGTCTTGCTGGTGTCTAGGCCTGTCTGCACTGTCCCTTTGGCCACATTCATGGCTCCTGTGAGTCCTGTGGTCACTGTATCCTTGGTACCCATGACCACAGATTTGGTAGTATCCAGGCCCCCCTGGGCAACTCCTTTGGCCATGTTAATGGCTCCTGTGACGCCAGCACAAACAGTGTCCTTGGTGCCTGTGAGCACAGTCTTGCTGGTGTCTAGGCCTGTCTGCACTGTCCCTTTGGCCACATTCATGGCTCCTGTGAGTCCTGTGGTCACTGTATCCTTGGTACCCATGACCACAGATTTGGTAGTATCCAGGCCCCCCTGGGCAACTCCTTTGGCCATGTTAATGGCTCCTGTGACGCCAGCACAAACAGTGTCCTTGGTGCCTGTGAGCACAGTCTTGCTGGTGTCTAGGCCTGTCTGCACTGTCCCCTTGGCCATGTTTGCAGCCCCTGTGAGTCCTGTGGTCACTGTATCCTTGGTACCCATGACCACAGATTTGGTAGTATCCAGGCCCCCCTGGGCAACCCCTTTGGCCATGTTAATGGCTCCTGTGACGCCAGCACAAACAGTGTCCTTGGTGCCTGTCTGTCCACTCTTGCTGGTGTCTAGGCCTGTCTGCACTGTCCCTCTGGCCACATTCATGGCCCCCGTGAGTCCTGTGGGCACTGTGTCCTTGGTACCCCTGACCACAGACTTGGTAGTATCCAGGCCCCCCTGGGCACCTCCTTTGGCCATGTTAATGGCTCCTGTGACGCCAGCACAAACAGTGTCCTTGGTGCCTGTCTGTCCACTCTTGCTGGTGTCTAGGCCTGTCTGCACTGTCCCTCTGGCCACATTCATGGCCCCCGTGAGTCCTGTGGGCACTGTGTCCTTGGTGCCTGTCAGCACACTCTTGCTGGTGTCCAGGCCTGTTTGCACCGTCCCTTTGGCCACATTCATGGCCCCCGTGAGTCCTGTGGTCACTGTGTCCTTGGTGCCCACGACCACAGACTTGGTGGTGTCCAGGCCTGTTTGCACTGTCCCCTTGGCCATGTTTGCAGCCCCTGTGAGTCCTGTGACCACTGTATCCTTGGTGCCCATGACCACAGACTTGGTAGTATCCAGGCCCCCCTGGGCAACCCCTTTCGCCATGTTAATAGCTCCTGTGACTCCAGCACAAACAGTGTCCTTGGTGCCTGTCAGCATACTCTTGCTGGTGTCTAGGCCTGTCTGCACTGTCCCTTTGGCCACATTCATGGCTCCTGTGAGTCCTGTGGCCACCGTGTCCTTGGTGCCCATGACCACAGACTTGTTGGTGTCCAGGCCCCCCTCAACAAGACCTTTGGCCATACCTACTGCTCCCATGATGCCTCCGGACACTGCCTCCTTAGTGCCCACAAGGGCCGACTGGGTGGCTCCCAGGCCACCCTGGACCATTCCTTTTGCAGTGTCTATGATGCCAGCTACCCCAGAGGAGAAGGCATCTTCACCACTGGTCACACTGAAGCTTCCCACGTCCTTGCACCCAGCTGTTGTCTGACAAGGAAGGACAGAGGTTAGCACCCCAGGGACATTCCTTTAAGGTGACTATGCTGTCCACACCTTCTGTGCACCCAGGTCCCTGGGACTTCCCACCCACCTTAGCCAAACCCCATAGTGTCATCCAGCTGCAAGATAGTGTCTGGGGAACTGCTAAAAAAGACCGCATCCAGCTAGCCATGTGATCCCAGCACTTAGGAGGATTGTCCCAAGTCTAGGGCTGCCTGAGAAACAAGTAAAATGCAAGTTGACAGAGACCCCGTCAGTGTCCGCTCGACTTTCATGTGTCTCACACCATCACCAAGAGCCCCCAGGTAGAGGCCACGCTTGTCACTACATAGCTAAGGAGAACCTGCTGGGATGATGGAGATGTGCTCCTACTGAGTGGCCCAGGGGACTCTGACCCTGCCTGGAGACACTGTACCTATCCCAAGAAGGTTAGGTGGAGGCAGGGCTCACCTCAGTCCCACAGTGTGGCCCAGGTAGCCCAGTGCTCAACTCACATTCTGCAGTGACCCAGGGTTGAGTCTTCCCTGCACTTGTGTGATGTAAGGAATAAATGGTATGTCGTGTTGTCCCCCACCCCCACCCCAGCCTACAACCCCCTAGAAAATACACTCCTGCCTGCTGGGGCTGCCACTACAGCTCATGGTGGAGCACACAACTGGTCAACTGAGCATTTGGGAGGCCAAGGCAGGAGGGTTGGGTACTCAAGGTCAGCCTCAGCTACAGAATGAGGAACTGGCAGCCCATTCAGATTTAAAAAAACAAAAACAAAAAAATCCTTCAAGATCAGGATAGTGGATGAAAGGGATTCAGTGGGTGCTTAATTGTTGCCAACAGAGGGACTGGCAGGAGGCCTTGTCTGCCAGGGATGTGTTTTGATTTGAGTCTATTGGGTGTAGTCCCACCATTGCTGGCCCAGGGGATGCTTAAGTCAGAGTTATTGAAGTAGGAGTGAAGTTTTCTACCTTGGTTTCTCTGTACCTGCCATGTGGTGTTGTGGGGCACAGCCCCTGTCTCCTTGGGGGCAGAAGAGGGCTAGAATTTAAGTGCTAGCACTGTGCCTTAGGTAGGACTGTTGAGAACTTGTGCCCATTTCTCAGATGTAGAAACTGAGGTTCAGGGTGGAGAATGTACTAGGGGCCCCACCTTCTCTTTGTCTTTGACACTTCCCACCCCATGGAAGGAACTAGAATCTCCCAGACCTTCCTGACCAAGGTCTCCAACCTGGCTTACCTGTTCAGAAGGCTGGAGCAGCCCTGAGGCACCCCTTGGAATCGGATGCAGGTTGGTGGCCCCTGCAGAGACAGAGCCAGGCGGGAAGTGAGCAGCAGGCCTCCGACTGGAACCTGTTGCTGTTGCACAATTCCAGGCTTTGCCCCAAAGGAAAGGAATGTCCCAGCAGCCAGTCCAGGGACAGCAGGAGGTGGCGTCCACAGGCAGGAGCCTCTCCCCCTCCCTACCAAGGGTGGCTCTGGCCCCTGGGACACAGGGCTCTGGGAGGACTTTCTGTACCAGACTCTAGGTGCCGGACACACACCCTGCACCCTTAGGCCTCACAGAGCCTGCAGTGGGCAAGTGGTACCTCCCAGCCTATGCCATGGCCCCCAGTGTCCTGTCACAAGTGTGTGGTCTTCAAGGCAGCTGGTGGCCTGCTACAGGTCCCCTAGTTGTGTCCAAGGATGCTGTGTGACCCCAGGACAGCTTCTGGCCCTATCTGAATCTTTTTTTTAAATTTATTTTTATTTTATTTGCATTCGTATTTTGCCTGCATGTATGTCTGTGTAAGGATGTCAGATGTTGGAGTTACAGACAGTTGTGAGCTGTCATGTGGGTGCTGGGAATTGAACCTGGGTCATCTGGAAGAGCAGCCAGTGCTCTTAATCCCTGAGCCATCTTTCCAGCCCTCTATCTGAGTCTTTATCCTTGACACACTGAAACAAGCACAGCACGCAGCTGTGGCAGTTTAAATACCCCCCTTCCCTGGGCTATGCTGCCCAGTATCTATGCCTCAGTTTCCCTATCTAATGAGATAACAGACAAAAGATCATCAGGATCACTGCAGGTCCCTCCTGGGCAGTCTGCACGGCTGCTCAGTGCCCCAACACATCCCTTGTGCCACTCACCCAGAGGTGGGAGAGCAGGAGTCCCTGTGGGGTCTGTTGCTGGTCCTGTGTCCTTTGTGGAACTGTGAGTGTGGGACACTAGGTTCCGGGCAGAGCTGAAGCCAGGCAGGGACCCGAAGAAACTGCTCAGGGTCTGCGTGGGTGGGGGCGGCATGAGTAGACTGTGGGGTCACCTTCCCTGAGTCCCTAATGGGACAGCCCTCTCTCCATTCTTACCTTGCCTTTGGATTTGGGGGGACTCCTGGTCCCATCTCCCGAAGCTGACATGGTGTCCTAAGGGGCTAGAAGGGGCAAAAAGTGCCACATGGTGGGGGCCCTCCTGTCCCATCCCCACCCTGGGCCTCACAGGCACCCCCTTCACCCACCTGGAGGTGTCAGTCGCTGGGTGACACAGCTGGACTCACCTGGGCCGTGCAAGGTCCCTCAGAGCAGAGCAGTTGCTGGCAGCGCCTCAGCTCCTGGTTCCCAGGCCTTATAGGGTCTGGGGAGGGTGCAGGCTTGGCCGGCCCAGGCAGACAGCCAGAGAGCAGGGGTGGGGGTGGGGTGTCACGTGCCTGCCCGCCTGGGCCAGTATGGACCCAGCCCAGCACCTTTCCCCTCCTCTCCATCTCTGTCCAAGCTGACTCTGCCCGCAGGCCCAGTGACTCAGAGCCAGCTGGGCTCCCTGAGGGACCGCCTGCTCTCTGCCTCTATTTTTCTGAGATGGGACACCTGATCAGGCACCACCTTGAAGTCCTTGTTTCCCCTTCCAAACTCATCAGTGGGCTTCCTTGTCTCCTCCGGCTCTGCTCCTGACTCCCTGGCTTAAAATGGGCCGCCTCCAACAGGCGGGACCCTTTCTTGCCCTGGGGCCTTTGCACAGGCCGTGCCCCTGCCTCTAGATTCCTACACAGCCTCACCTGTCAGCCTGTTTGTATCCTGAGCCCAGGACAGTGCCTGGCACACATCAGACACTTAGGAAACACTTGTCTAAATGGGAACAAGTAAAGGTGCATGTGAGTTTAAAATGAGGTCATATGTGATCAGTGTCAACAAACTCTACCTTAGCATTATTGGGACAGAAACAGGCTCTCCAAGAGAAGACTGTATCATGAGGGCAGTCATATGTCCCTTTACTGAAGGGACTTGGCTGAAATGTAGAGTGGGAGGTGCCCTGAGGGTGAGAATCCAACCATGGGGGCCCCGGCCTAACCAGTGTGTGTGTTGGAGAAGTGTCCTGGGCCTGGGGCCCCATGAGTAGGACTCAGACAGGCTCCTAACTCACTGTCTTCCAAGTGGGCCTTTGGTGGAGCCACTGGGCAGAGTGATGGCCTCTCTCACCCTGGACCCTGTTCCAGACTTTTACCCCTGATCCCAACCTCAGCAATGAGGTAATTAACTCTGGCACTGGGCAAGAGGAAGGGGATCCGGGTAGGGTCGGGTGCGGGCCTGGCACCCCTGGACTCTTTCCTTGTCGGGTGAGGGCCTGGCACCCCTGGGCTGTTTCCTTGGAGCCTTGGTTGTGTTGGCTGACAGTTCTAGAACAGAAGTGGGTACAGGGGGAGTGGGCATGGGGTGGGAGCATTGCAGCAGGCTCCCAGCCAGCGTCTAGCCCCCACAATTTATGAGGCTCCCTGGAAGTACCGTCATTGGACATGGAGGAGGGATGTGCCTTCTGGACAAGAGGGCACTTGGCAGGGGGGGCAGAAATGAGGACACTGTTCTGAGAACACTAGGGAGCTACAGGGTTTCTGGAAGTGAAGCCAGAGGGGTGGCCAATAATGCGGTGAGAAGCCAGGAAGGCGCTGTGGAACCCATCCTAGCCTTTGCCCTGCTTCTGTTTCCTGCAACCCTGCCCCAGTGCAGCCTGTGTCCTGCAAGGAGCAGGGAGAAGAGAGACCACCTCTTGGCATCCTCTGCTCCACCTTCCTATCCTGCTACCAAGAGGCTCCAAGAACTCATACTATAGTATGAGTGCCTTCCACTTAGGTGTACTGAGGGGACGACACTCAGCCTAAGCTCCTCCATGTGGCTCAATAGGAAATGTGTTGGCCCTGAACACTGGCTGGAAACTCCAACCCCATGCCCCTAAAGTCACACCCCAAAAACTCCCAGCACCCTAGTTCCAAGACCCATCTCAGACCACACCAAACATTTATTGTGGACCACCAACAAAGCAAGTGAGTCTCTTGCCCACCGCAGTTGACTGGACATCTTGGAGGGACACCAGCCAAAAGCATTTGATTTGACTTTTGACATCTGAACCCCACCTCCCCGGAGATGCCACTGCACTCCATATCTTCCTCAGAACCCAGAGCCACCTTTTTATTTTTTTGACAGTCTTGCTAAGGCGGCTCAACCTGGCCTCAAATCTCAATCCTCCTGTCTCAGCCTCTCAAGTGCTGGCATGACAGCTGTGTGCCAATTTTGAAGGTGGGGACAGGATCATAGAGTAGCCTGCGGTGAGTGCGGTCATGTGACCACCAGGGGGCAGCAGGAGCCTCGGTGGTTAGAAGTCCAGCTCCGGCATCAGCCTGTGCTTGGGCGGGTCACTCTGAGGCTCGGCCGGTGGGTCT